CAGGTTCGCGTCTCTCCCGCTCGCGTTCTTCGCAGTTAGGTACGATGTCGGCAAGCAGGATGCTTATGAGAAGCAGGAAGTTGTCGGAACTGGTTGCCGGGTCGTCAATGTCGTCGAACATCTTCCACTATCACGCGCCGGGATCGTGTCCGAGATTGCGATCCAGTATCCTCTCGGCCAACTGGACGAGCGTATCCGTGTCCGTCCACTTTATGCTTTCGGCGTCGTCGTCGAAAAGCACGTAGCACGCGTCTCCCCTTCCAGCGAACCCGGCGTGGTCGTTGCTCGAAAGGAAGCAGATGGGAACCGTGCACTCGCTCGGTTTCAGCAGCGTCACGCCGGGAATCTTTCCCATGAACGCTATCAACCTCGCGAGAGATCTGGTGGCCGGCGTGGGCGGATCAGCGTAAACCACGGTCGGCGCGAAGGCCGTCGAACCGTACCTGTCGGACAACCTCTTCGCCGCCTCCGGTACTTCGTCCTCGGACACGACGAACCATCTTGCTTGGTTCAGAAGCTGATGAAACGAACATTCGTCCTCTCTGATCAACCCTCCGTAGGCGGTGGAGCTCGGTCGGTAGTCCACGACGAACGGGATGGGACGGGGGTTTTCGTTCTCTTCGGAGTTGCCGACGAGGACGTCTTCGCTAACGTCGTCGTCCACTTCCTCTTCGGATTCGCACGCAGAACTTCCGGAACATGCGTCTTCGACGACGTTGTAGCTGGGACCGACGCTACGGCGACCGGGAGGTTCCCTACGTTGTCGTTGAGACCCTTCGCGTCTGCAATCGTTCAGTAATCGGCGCAATTTGCTTACCTCGACACTTCGTCCGTAATTTACTGTTTCTATTTCGTTTGTCAGATAGGATATCTGTCGCATTAATTCTTTGTTCATTTGCGTACAATCGGCCGCCTTCATCTTTTCCTTTTCCAACGAACGTTCAACTTCATCGAGGCGTCGTGTGAGAAGTTCTCGACATTCCTCGTGCGATCGTCCGTCTTCCGAGTTCTCGACGATTCGAGTCACTTCGGAATACGCCTCCGCCACTTTGTTATTGGCAAAGTTGAGTTGTCTTTTGATCTCGTCCATCTCCATCTTCGTTTTCGTCAAATCTGATCTCAATTCGTCTTCTTCCTTGTTCTTCGAAAACACCAATTCTTCAAGGTGGACAACCTTTTTCATCGATTCGTCGTACAAATTCGACAGACTTTTTTCCGATTCCGATAGCCTCTTTTCCATTTCGGTGTTCTCTTTCACCATTCTATCGCGCGTCGATGACCGTTTTGAGTTCTTTACTTAGTTCCGAAATCATTTTTTTGTTGGATTCACCCGACTTATCCCTCTTTTCGTCGCTCAGAAGTCGTTCGAGTTGTCGGATCTCCTGTCGGTGTCTTTCCAGCTCCCGCTTTAACGAATCCGTTTCTTTCGAATCCGTTACATTCTTGTCGACGTTCGAAAGGTGGGACTCAAGATTTGCGCGTTCTGCCTCGGACGTCTTCAGCAGGTCGCGAAGCTTGTCGAGATCTGCCGAACGTCGTTCGGCCGTCGCTTGCCACGACCTCTTCTCGGCTTGCCACCTTTCAAGGTCCTCCTTTGACCGACTTTCGGAATCGGTCGCGTGCTTCAGTTTCTCCGAGAGGGACGCGCACTCGTCAAGAGCCTCTTCCGCTTCGGCCGATCGCGAAATCTTATCGGATTCCAGTTTAGCTATCCGATCGAGATGCTTCTCTTCCTGTTCCTTTAGGGACGCATGAAACTTACCTGCGTCTCTTCTCAGTTTCGATTCCTTTTCTGTAAGGAAAGATATCTGCGTTCGAAGATTTTCGATCTCGTCCGAGTGGCTCGCCTTCGCCGATGACAGTTTCGTTTCCGAGTCTGATTTCTCCCTCTCGAGATCGTCTCGAAGCGATCCGAGTTCCTTGGCGTGGGATTCGTGAGTTTCGTCGCGTGCCTTCTTCAATTCTTCGACCCATTGCTTCCACTGTGGAATTTCATTCTTTTTTCGTGGTTCGCCTTCACCCTGATCTCGGCTTCCTTGGCGGCCGCCAGATCGCGGGACGTACGTCGCAGTTCGTCTTTTGTCTTTTCGAGAATGACGGAAAGTTCGGCACTACGGTCGTCCGCGCATTCTTCGCGCACTCTCGAGAGGTCCGTTTGCAATGCGACTATCTCGTCTTTGAGAGCGGTCGCCTCGCGTCCCTTGTTAGCGAGCTGCACCCCCAACCCTTTTATCTTCCGTCCGTCACGTTCCTTCCCTTCTTTGAGGACGGCGATCTCGTCTTCGAGACCGGCCGCCTCTCGAATCTTCTTCGCGATCGTAGCGTCCAACTCTTTCATCCTCTTCACGTTTCTTTCAATCTCTTCTTTGTAGGCCGTCATTTTATCGTCAATCTCACTTCCGTTCCGTTTAATTTTCTCTTCCATGGTGTCTATCTCGTTCCGCAAGTCGATAGCCGTGCGATCTTTATCGGAAAGCAATTTTTCCATCTTCCTACTCTCCTTCTCGTTATCATCTTTCAAGGCGGTTAAATTCTCGACATCCTTGATCAGCGAGGACTCCTTTCGGGTGGCCTCGGCCAGCTTTTCCTTAAGATCGGCAATCTCCGTTCGGAGAATGTCGGTCCTGTCGAAGTGATCGGCCTTGGCCGTTTCCAGATCGGAGATCGCCTTCGCCTTGTCGGAATCGGCGGAAGAACGAAACTCGCGAAGGTTCGCGTCGTGATTCTTCTCCGTTACGTCCAACCACTCCTTCAGACTCTCGACCTCCATCTCGCTCTCTTCCAACTTCTTCGCCGACCGTCGTTCCCTGTCTTTGGCAGTCTCCAATTCGCGAGTCGCAAGTCGCAGATCCTCTTTTATCTTTTCGAGAATCGCCGAACGTCGGGCGTCGCCGTCGCTGCGTTCCTTGGAAGCCGTTGCCACCTTTTCCCTTTCGGCACGAAGTTCGTCTCTGAGAGAGGCGATCTCCTTGTTCGCGTTGGCCGTCGAGCGACCTTTTCATCCAACCGTTCCTTCAGACTCTCCACCTGCTTCTCAGTCTCTTCCAGCTTCGTCGCCGACCGTCGTTGGAGGTCCTTTGCAGCCGCCGTTTCCCGGTTCGCCAGTCGCAATTCGTCTTTTATCTTCTCGAGCGTCACCGAACTTCGAGCGTCGTCGTCGCTGCGTTCCTTCACGGCTGTTGCCACCTTGTCCTTTTCGGCACGAAGTTCGTCTCTGAGATCGGCAATTTCCTTCTTCGGGTTGGACGTCGCTCGATCTTTGTCCGAAATCAGTCTGTCTCTGTCGCCGAGCGTCCGTTTTGAAGCGCGAAGTTCGTCGTCGATATTTTCGATCCTCCTGGCGTTCGCTTCTACCTCCTCCTTCAGGTTCCTGTTCTCTCGAAGAACCTCCGAATGACGCGTTTGGTCCTTTTTCAGGTCCTCGATCGCACTCTTCAATCGCATCACCGTCTTCCGTTCCTCCTCCAGATCGGATTGCGCTCGCCGCAACTCCTCTTTCTCTCCGAGGTTCACTTCCATTTCGTACAACGACTCTTCGGGTTGCCGTCTTAACAGTTCTCGCTGCAATTCGACGTTCTTGTCGGCCATGGATTGCGCGTGCTCGTCAGCCTTTTTCGCGGCCGCCTCCACAATCCGTCTGCTTTTCACTTCCTCGTCGTATCGCTTGCAAGCAGTTTTCAGGTTTTCTTCCAAGACGTCCACCCGCTTTTCATACATGGACATCGCGGTCTTGGCGAGCGTCGACTCTTTCTTCAGCGTGCTGAATTTGTCCTCTTTCTCTTCCAACTCCTCTTCCAAGTCGGCGTGCGATCTCTCTCGGTCTTTCAATTTGCGGACGGCTTCATGCAGCTTTTGCTGCAGCTCGCCGCCGCTCTCTTCCTGTGGCGGCTGCTTCGACTTTCTCCTCGCGGCTTTCAGATCCGATTCCAAGCGAACCACGTCTAGATCCCTTTCCTTCAGGGCATCCGTCTTTGAAGCGAGTTCTGTCGTGAGACGTTCGACATCTTCCTCCGCGATGCTGCGAACGTCGGACGATTCTTTCAACGCGGACATCTTCGCCTCGTGTATTTCGTCTTTTAATTTCTGTATGACGACTCTGGCTTCGGTGAGTTTTCGTTCCTTTTCCGCAAGTTTGTCCTGCACCTCGTTCAGCTTCTGCTTGCCCAGTTCCAACGTACGTTCGTTCTCCTTCGCAGATTCTCGACGGTGAGCATCGAGATCTTCCTGCGCGACGGACTTGGGAGTCGCCGGCGTCGAAGACGACGTGGATCTCGCGTGCGTCTCCGGTTCGTCTGGGACTCGTCGACCGTCTTGAGACGGATCCCACTCCAGATCGTCGTTTTCGTTTTCCCGAAGAAATCCAGAAATGTACTGCTTCCAGTTCGCGTCCTCCCACCTCACGTTTGGCGTCAATAGCGAACTTTCCTCGTCCACGTAAGGTGGAAGATCTCCCGTCGGCGTCGCTGCCCCGTCGTCGTCGTAAGCGTCGTCCTCGTCGTTGGCGGCTTATCTTTCGATTGTTTCTTCCATGTCGCGATAATCCTGCGAATTGAAGTCGTACGGTAGATTGGATGGAGGGCCTTCGCGGTCGCCCACTCTCCTTCCAGTTCCCGTCGTTTCCTCCGGTTCAGTGATCACGGGAAGGTCGCCGAGGGCTTCGGAATCCAACACGGATTCCGCATACTGTTGCTGCCGTTGCTGCGGTGCACGCTCCGCGGGTAACGTCGCGACCTCCAACTCCTCCAAAGTCGTCGGTGGCGTGACGAAGGTATTCTCTTCTTCTCCGTCGTCGTACCGTTCCAATGCGTCGAAGAGCTCGTCGGCGGCGCCGGAATCTCCTCGATCATCGGACGTCGACGGACGCTCGTCTGGACGCGACCGGCTTGGAACCCTCTCTTCTAACTGAAGCAGGTTTCGGTAGCTGGCTTCCGAAAGATCGTACCGACATCTCTCGGTCGCTTCCACGCTTTTAGTCGGCGTGTCCAACGCTATCGACGCACCCGTCATACGTGCGGAAGGGAACTTGCAGAGGACGTTCAGCAAGATTGCCGAGACGTTCGCTTCGTAATGTCAGCAGTACTGTCTCGGTGGGTCGTCTCCCGTCGGGGTCCCGAAAGGGGGCAGTTGCGACCAGAATTCCTCTAGTTCGTCAACGACGCTCCTTACGAGATTGTCGTCTCTTAATCTGTCTTTGAGGAAATCGCGTTCTCGCACGTAAGAAACGACGGATCCGAACAGTCGGTCGAAATCCACGTCCAACGCCACCTTCTCGAAACTCGCGAACTCCGACTCTATCACCTCCGCCGTCT